GCATTGTGGGATGGCACCGCACTGGATCCTTTGCCGTACCTGTACAACGACCATGAGAAAATGCTCACAGTGAGGGATGGGTAATTTTATTTAAAGGGATAGTTCACCCAAAAAAAGAGAAGTCTGTTTTTAATTACTCACCCTCATGTCGTTCCAAACCCCTAAGACCTTCGTTCATCTTTGGAACACAAATTAAAATATTTTTGATGAAATCTGAGAGCTTTCTGATGCTGCATAGACAGCGAGAGACCTACCACGTTCAAGACCCAGAAAGATAGCAAGAACATCATTAAAATATTCCATGTGACATCAGTGGTTCAACCTTAATTTTATGAAGCTACGATAAAAGTGGGCAAAGAAAACAAAAAGAAAGACTTCATTCAACAATGAATGGGTCTTGAATGTGGTAGTTGTGTTGCTGTCTATGCAGGGTCAGAAAGCTCTCGTATTTAATCAAAAATATCTTAATTTGTGTTCCGAAGATGAACGAAGGTCTTACGGGTTTGGAACAACATGAGGGGGAGTAATTAATGACAGCATTTTCATTTTTGGGTGAACTATCCTTTCAAGAAAAACAGCTCACTTTCAATTCATGAGTTTGTGTTGAAATCCAGCTGGTGAAAAACAGGATGTTCAAAACGGATTTTAAATTGGAATGACAGGAAGAGGAATTTACTAAATTGTAGTTTTAATTAGTTCATTAGTTGTACTTTCATTAGTTCAACACAAGTTGTGCAACAATATAAAAATAATTCCATCACTGACTATTTATTTCTATGTATCCCTTAAAACGTAGAATATACCTTTTCCTCAACTTATTTACATGCTCCTCTTAATGTTGCTTTTCTCTAAAATGTCTATACTGTCGAAACAATTAATTAGTTATTAAACTTTAATTTTGCCATAAAGCACCACAAAATATACAATGTACTCTTTTTAATCTATTTATTATAAAGATCCATTGAGTCCTAATAAATATAAAATATAGTCATATATTTAAACAATGTCTATTAAAGTCTATTAATTGCTTCAATATGAGTAAATTATGGAGTTCGTGGAAAAAGTGCTCTTCCACCGTATAATAAGAGACATAACTTTAATTATTAATGTCATAAATTGTTTTTGAAAATACTCAACTCAAATTCAAGTTTAAATTCAGAAACTCAATCATATACAAGGCTTTTTCAATTCAATTCTGAAAGACGTACGCCACTCGCTCAATGCTGTTGTATGTTTTTTAGTACACAAGTACACAATATGGCTTCCATTAGGTGAGATAAGGCCAGCAAATGAATGCACCGCTGACCTTGATGTGATCTTAATGCCAGAAACACATAAATAACAGTAATAGTGTCTTTCCACCAATTACTGGCTTAATAGAAGTTATCTGTCATTCAGCAAAGGCTACAAAACTCTAAAGCATAAAATGGACATCCTAAATTTAAAAACAATCTGAGGGGGAGTAATTAATGACAGCATTTTCATTTTTGGGTGAACTATCCTTTCAAGAAAAACAGCTCACTTTCAATTCATGAGTTTGTGTTGAAATCCAGCTGGTGAACAACAGGATGTTCAAAACGGATTTTAAATTGGAATGACAGGAAGAGGAATTTACTAAATTGTAGTTTTAATTAGTTCATTAGTTGTACTTTCATTAGTTCAACACAAGTTGTGCAACAATATAAAAATAATTCCATCACTGACTATTTATTTCTATGTATCCCTTAAAACGTAGAATATACCTTTTCCTCAACTTATTTACATGCTCCTCTTAATGTTGCTTTTCTCTAAAATGTCTATACTGTCGAAACAATTAATTAGTTATTAAACTTTAATTTTGCCATAAAGCACCACAAAATATACAATGTACTCTTTTTAATCTATTTATTATAAAGATCCATTGAGTCCTAATAAATATAAAATATAGTCATATATTTAAACAATGTCTATTAAAGTCTATTAATTGCTTCAATATGAGTAAATTATGGAGTTCGTGGAAAAAGTGCTCTTCCACCGTATAATAAGAGACATAACTTTAATTATTAATGTCATAAATTGTTTTTGAAAATACTCAACTCAAATTCAAGTTTAAATTCAGAAACTCAATCATATACAAGGCTTTTTCAATTCAATTCTGAAAGACGTACGCCACTCGCTCAATGCTGTTGTATGTTTTTTAGTACACAAGTACACAGTCTATATATATATATATATATATATATATATATATATATATGTCTAATATTATTATATATAATTATCTATATTATAATTTTTTTTAAACCTTGAAAAAAGCACCATCAGGCATCTTGGTAGACTGAGTTTAATTTCTTTTGATTATGAATTGAAAAGCAATGTTAGCAGAGTGCAGACATAAGCGCTACAAGGAATGATAGATGCAGGATTGGGTGAAAAAGGCATGCTTTGTATGAGCCAAATCATTGCACTGCAATTACAGCAGTGAAGAGCGACTCTTTTATCTCGCCATCTATGGTTTTCTCTTCACTCCAGGACTCCAGGACGTCCCACCCATACAGCCCTACTTCATTCCACTCATCTACAACAAAAAGGCAATCCTACAACTCACACAGCAGAGTGCAAACACAGGTCAGTGCCTGGGGTGAAGAGTCAACAGAGAAAGAGGCGGTACGCGACCCGTGTATGTAAAAGAGTCTGTTTAATATCAGTGAGAAAATTGCTTTGGTTGTTATACGTTGAGGTAATTTTCACATTTAATCAGTTTTACAAAACACAGTTCCCCCAAAAGTATTCAGACACTTAAGCCTCACTCATTAATGTATGCATTTTTTGGTATTTGATAATAAAATATCAAACCAAGTGATATTTATTTGAAAGAAATAAAGCACTAACATAATTTACAAGCAAATTCTTCAAATTATTGTCTGAAGAATAAAGAAGCTAATTTGCTGCCAAACAATTAATCGCATCCAAAATAAAAGTTTTTGTTTACATAATATATGTGTGTGTACTGTGTATATTTAGTATGTCTATATAAATACACACACATACATGTATATATTTAAGAAAAATATGTTTAAATATTAAATATATTTATCTGTAATATAAATAATATAAATATATACTGTATGTGTGTATTTATATATACATAATAAATATACACAGTACACACACATATATTATGTAAACAAAAACTTTTATTTTGGATGCGATTAATCGCAACAGCACTAAATGTGTGTATATATATATATATATGTGACTCTGGACCACAAAACCAGTCATAAGTAGCAAGTGTATATTTGTAGCAATAGCCAACAATACGCTGTATGGGTCAAAATTATTGATTTTTATTTTATGCCAAAAATCAGTGGGATATTAAGTAAAGATCATGTTCCATGAAGATATTTTGTAAATTTCCTACCATAAATATATTAGAACTTAATTTTTGATTAGTAATATGCATTGCTAAGAACTTCATTTGGACAACTTTAAAAGTGATTTCCTCAATATTTAGATTTTTTTGCACCCTCAGATTCCAGATTTTCAAATAGTTGTATCTCGGCCAAATATTGTCCTATCCTAACAAACCATACATCAATGGAAAGAGATATATGTGTGTATAT